ACAACAGGAAAGCTGTAGCCTAAACTATACGAAAAAAGGAAGTCACTCGTCTGGTGATTAGACCCCCCGCAATGGGCAATTCGGACACAGGACGACCTGTGAGCCTTTCACACTCACGTGGGACTGGGTTGGGCGATCATGACGGCAGGCTTGATGGGCCGTCGAAAAGTGGTATGATGTGATGACTCGTTTGGGCAACGATACATGCGTAATTGTGGACAGACGGTTGGGCAAATAGAAGAAAAATAAATAATAAAGTGGCCCAACTGGCACATGAACCAGTTGTATCTGGCCCGGCAAATGGATTCCAGTCCAATGGAGTGTTATGGAAACGAGGCGATATCGATCACATTGTTGGGCCAAACGAGCCTCAAGAATGGAAACCTGTCAAGTCTCTGTAGCACGGTGCTGGTGGAGTGTGTTTTAGTTCCGGGTTTGTCTGTCAAAACGACTGCACATTGACGCATGGTGGCTCTTGAAGGCAGCTTTGACTGGCACAACCAACGTCCGTCTTTTCTTGCCAGAAGTTGCCAGTCTCGCGTTCCCAGGGCGTGGGGAAGAGGCGGATTAGTCTGTTTGTGTCCGAGGCAGCGAAGGACTGAAGAACTGAAAGTGGATGTATGGAAACACGAGTGTGCCGATGTCTGGTTGTGTGGGTGTGTAGCGAGTACGATTATGCCTTGATGCTATGGGACTGATCATGACGTAGGCAACACAAAAGACGGTAGTTTCTACCTGAATGGTCTTTCTTGTGAACTATTCGTCTCAGGCTTGCCAGTCAAGTGAAGCAATTTGTCCAAATAACTCCCTTCGGCAAAGAGTGATGGGATATACTATTCTGATACGGGCAAACCCTTTCGAGACTATAAGTTAGTTGTTGGCAAAATCTTGGTCAATTGGGGTAAGATGGCAATGTCGAAATGTGAAATATTCTCGAGTCGTTTTCGGCAGTGCAAGGATGTTATTTAGCTTACGTGATGAAGGACTAATGGCGAATTTTCCCAAAATTTGATGACAACCTTGCTTCAAAGAGAAATTCGTGACCAGAATCTCGAAATCTTATTCAGTTCAAAGAATGTTGGTAAGAACGAGGAAGCGACGGACAGGATTGTGTTTATGCCTCGGCGAATCCCACTGGCCAGCAGCAGACTTGACTCCTCTCACTCTGTATGCGACTAAGCGATGTGGAAATTGAAGTTGCTCTCGAGGAATTCATCCTTGTGAATTCTAGTTCCAAAGACTGAATGTAACCGTTAATGCCGATTGCTTCAGCCACATTCGTCCAGCCCATGTAGCGAGGATATCGTCGAATTTGTCTGAATTAATGCAGTTGGTAAATACGAGTAGTATTAGAAACATATATATATATATGTGTGTGTGTGCGTGTATTAAAAATTCAACAAACATGACAAACCAGATCTCTTTCAAGTCATACCTACTAGTGGGACGGTCGATGAAGTGAACATGTGTTTTCCATTACATAATTTCGACATTAGCATATTTCTTATTCAAGCATTACTTAGCTAATTCCATTCATATGCTTGTATATATATTTGTTATTATTTATTTTATACATACATATACATTACTAAATGTGATGCATATATATATTTGCCCCGAATTCAGTAATTCTTGAATATATATATATGTATATAGTCATATCATATATGAAAAACATATCATATCATGATACAGCCGTATGATTTTGTTTCGATACTCATCTGGGGTACGGTAAGGGATCTGCGAGAGGGTGAACCTGGGTTCCAGCCTGAATGATAGAGAAGCCTAAATAAAATTCAGTGACATCAATAGGTTTACTCATAAAGCTGTAGTAGGCTCCTCTAGATACCTCTTGCTCAAGATCCACCGACAGTCTGTAAGCCGGGGCTATTAAGAATGGTGGTAACAATGTTGGCCCATGGCTGTCGAGATAACGTGTTTTCCCTGCTTCATAAACCTGAAATGAGTGGATAAATGAGAGGCCGGATGCTGCAATTTGGACGATAATCCGGCAACTGTGTGGTTTGCAAAATGCGACCTCGGCTCTGGCCAGTTCGGCTAATCCTTTCGGCTTTGGAGATACGCGTTCGCCTGAATCAAGTCTTGTCTAAATGGAAAACCCCTAATTTTTAGTGTACATCCGCTTCGGTTATCAAATACTAATCGGCCTACAGCATCCACAATAGGGCAACAACGATTGCCTACCCGGTCGACACATCGCAGATTTAGAACGATTTTATTATCCTCTCGTCTGTTAGACAACCACGTTCTCTCACAGCCTGCTCTGCACGAATAGCTGGCTCCATTCAACTGTACACAAGGCGCCGAGTGAATTTTATTGTACCTTCTTAATCGAACTGTTACGCTACTCACAATCTGCCAGACTTTCTGCATACATTTCTTCTCCCTTCGTTGCTTGGGTAAGCGAGTTTTTCCCAGTATTCTCATCTTCTGCTTAAACACATGCGACTCTACCCCGACAGGGCTGGGGTGGGGATGGCACGGTGGTCATAGGAGTATATATATATATATATGAGATGTATTCACCTTATTTCGTTTAGGGGCATTAAAAAATAGTATTTGACTTTTCCCACACTGATATGAGTGGGCTATGTGTTTCCACTGGATCTCACAC